CTTCCGATCTACGCACGCACGCACGCACACACACACACACACACACACACACAGACAGACACACACACACACAGACACACACACACACACACAGATATATATATATATATATATATAAACTTTTTAGGGATGGGAATCTTATGAGGGGATATTAGAATATCTAGGTGTTAGTTATTATTTTGTTATTCTTCTAACATTGTATAAAACACTTAGTTAAAATGACTACAAATTTTATTCATCTCCCTTGTTTCTCAATAAAAATGAGAAAGGTAATCAACTTTTTGAAAGAAAAAAAAAATTGTTTTTTTGTCATTTTTTTTTTCAATCCTAGCTCCTTTACTTATGTATATAAGTAAAACGACCCTTTAGTTTTATCTTTTTAATTAGTTGTTTGTGATATATATACTAATCACTTGTTTCTTACTTAAACTTTGATTAGGAAGAAGAAATAAATATTACCGTTAATTCTCTTCATCCAGGATCCACTATCACTAATATTTACATGGGCAATCGTTTGTTGAAAGGTAAATACCATATATATTTTTGTAATGGTCTATTAGAAAACTATGTAAATAACAAGATTTAAGATGCTAATTGAATAACTTATTTATTTTAAATAATCTTCCTCCTTGATCCATCTTTCAACAATTTCAATGCATTTGCAATGAAGAAATTTAAATGCATAGGTTGCTCTACATGATAAATTCAAAATTTAGTAAAAAAATTATTTCTTCAAGCATCCATGCAAAGCAACTTTTACATGTTGACCTATAGGTGGCCTTTGTAATTTATATCTCTTAATTATAACATTAACCGTCGTCTTGCCTATATTTTTTATGGTTTAATTGTTTGTTCAATTATATATTTTTTCATATCGATTAAGATAGATGTTGAGTTTTATACTATCTTTATATGAATTATGCAGGGATATTCAATTTGCTAGGGCCATTTGTAGTTGATAAGCTTGCGGGATTCTTGGTGAAAAATGTCCAGCAAGTAAGTTAAATCACTATAATTGATGATGAGTATAAAGACTAAAATAAAATAAAAGAAAAGTGGGAGAAAATTATATTTAATTGCATACAAATATAATCAAGCACTTCTTTGTTTAATCTAAGGGGTTTAAATAAATTAACTCACATTTATCATGTGATCTCCTTAATTAGCTTTCATATTGACTTTCTACAAATTGATTATAGGGAGCAGCAACAACATGCTATGTAGCATTACACCCACAAGTGAGTGGAATTAGCGGAAAGTATTTTGCAGATAATAATCTTGCTGAGCCATACTCACATGGAAAGAACATGGATTTGGCCAAGAAGTTATGGGATTTTAGTATGAGTTTGATCGAGTAAATACAGTGTTAATTGTCAAAAAGATGAAATAGCTTTTCAGTGATGAAAATACCAATTATATAATAACTATTATTCCCCCTATAATAAATATTTCATATACAGTCATGTACAAAAAGTATTATTATAAGTATAATATATATATATATATATATTTAATATATAATTATACATAATTTTAGTATTAATTTTGGATGAAATTTAATAACATATTTTATATGTTATTATAATCTATATCTATATTTTTTAATAATATATCAATATATATTGTATTTATTGTATAAGTAAAAATAATTTTTAATAATAAGTATTATATCACTATAAGATATGTGTTACTATGTGACTATTTTTTTATATACATTGTTATTATATTTCAAGAGATTTATCGTTGAAATAAATTATAATTAATTACTTTGTTTTTCATGAAATCAGTTAAGAACTCTCAATCATATTTAATCAATTAACGAAATATCGTAATCGATTGACTAAAATAGGACATCATATTTCTTATAAAATAAAGCAAGTCTTTCTTTAATCAATTATTGCATTAATTCATTAAAATTAACTTAAGTTGATATTTTCATAAAATACGTTTTATATTATGTAACCAATTAAAAAGTATGTATCGATTACACTATTTCAAAACACATGTATTTTAAAACAAAATGTTATTAGATTAACTTCTTAAGCTTTGTTGATTTCTAAGTTTAATAAAATCTCTTATATATCATCACTTTACCTTGATTAATGTTTAAGGTAGATTAGCTTTCTTGTTTCAAGCACTCACACAATCAACCTATCTATAAGAAGTATAGAACAAAAGAACAAATTAAACTCTAAGAAATGATCTATTAGAGTAAACTTCTTAAAAAATATTTTTGAGAGAAAAATAGGGAAAAAAATAAATTAAGTTTCTTCATAAACTAAAATTAGCTTATACTAAATTGAAAATAAGATTTTGAAGAAGTTAATAAAATAGTTTCTACAAATTAGTTTATGTACATAAGATAATATTAACTTATGAAGAAGCTTATATAATCTTTTCTTCCTATTTTTCTTTTATGAAAGTACTTATGAAGAAGTTTATCATAACAAATTAATTTAAAGAAAAATTTCATCAGGGTAAGCTAAAACTAATTTTCATGCAATCTTTTTCAAATCTTTTCATCAATAATGCTAACCAGGCTCGAGTTAAACTCGCACATGTTTAGGAGGAGGTAAAGAAACAACCTGAGCTGAGTTAGCAATTGTTAAAAAAAATAAATGAAAAATAATATTTTATCGTGACACTAACCATTGTCTTGAAAGTAAATTCAAGTGTACTTCCCATGCAACCCAAAATCTAATTTGCTCTTCAAAGTTTACATTTCATCGTATTTGAATACGCGTACTCGAGACTACAACACGTTGGAGCTTCACAAATAATGGCAAAAGAATATAAATTAAAAAGTGAGGATGTGTAACTCACACTACTCTAAAACACACTTTTGTCACTCTTTATATAGTGTATAAGAAATCAATCAATTGACAAATATTTAAGAAAAACTTTTAATACTAACAACAACAAAAGTAAATAATATACCAATAATAAAATAATTAATATGTCAATGGTAACAATTAAATAATTAGCAGTTATGTGTCATTATCTTCACAAGCCCTCATTACTGGTAGATTAGTGGAAGAGAAAAAAAATTCTGGGTAAGGAAAAGTTATTGCGCTTAAGTGTTAATGTCAAGACGATTGAATTAACACAGTGTAATGAGGTAACACCTTATGTCTAAAATGTAAATTACTCTTGAACTTAATGACTTTAAGATGAGACACCCACAATACACATGTTACCTTTAAATCGTGATGGCTTTGCGATTAAAATTTTACACAATAATTTAGGTCTTTATGTGTGTGTACCTTAAGTTGCTCTTGAGTGTTCTAAAAAAATAGCTAAATCTTTCATGGAATGTGACCTATGCATTCACACTTATATAGGTAGATACTTCAAGTGCGTCTCTATAGCACCACCCATATCGATCAAGGGCTATGTATTTATTAGGAACTCATGACTCAACCTCATATCAAGCACTACCACATGTCAAAGGGATGAGAAATGTAGTGTATAGGAGTATTTATATGCTTTCGTTTGATCACTATGTAACACCCAGTTTTTTTTAAAAGATGGCATTTTCGTAAATATTGATGGCATTTTCGTAATTTTAATAAAGGAATAAGGGTATTTCTGGGTGTCGGAACGGGTCGTTCCAAAAGAAAGAATATGCTTGTTTCTAAAGACCCAGAACGGGCCTGGAACGAGCCGTTCTGGCATGGAGAACGAGCCGTTCTGGAAGCAGTACGGGTCGTTCTACTGAGATTGAGAACGGGCCGTTCTGGTTTCAGAACGGGCCGTTCTGCTTTTTGGGAACGGGCGTTCCGATTTTGGAACGGGCCGTTCCAGTTGAGAAATTTGCCCATGTTTGAAGGATCCGGAACGGGCCGTTCCGAAATCAGTACGAGCCGTTCCGGGTGTGTCAGATTGCCTATAAATAGAGCCAAGGGGGGGTGAAAATTTTATATAGAGTGAGAAGGTGAAATCTTAGAGAGAGAAAGAGGAGAGAGAGAGAGAGAGAGAGAGAGAGAAAGAAAGAAAGAAAGAAAGAGAGGGAAGAAAGAGAGAATCCAGAGGAGGAGGCTCTGCCCAAGTTTCAACTCCGCTTATCCAGGTAAGGGGGGGAGTGAGAACCTCGCTCAGGGGTGTGTGGATAATTGTTGGATAGTTGTTTGTTGGATTGGCCCCTAATCCCTTGCCATTGTGCTGTCTTATTTTCTATTTGCTCTACTTTATTCCTTGTTAGAAATAATAAATGATTATGTAATCCCAATCCGGTGTCGTTGTTCTGTTTGATTTTCTATTTACTCTACTTTGTTCTTTGTTGAAGATGCCGTTGTTCTGTTTGATTTTCTATTTACTTTACTTTGTTCTTTGTTGAAGGTGCCGTTGTTCTGTTTGATTTTCTATTTACTCTACTTTGTTTTTGTTAAAGGTGCCGTTGTTCTGTCCGATTTTCTATTTATTATACTTTGTTCTTTGTTGAAAGTAATAAATGAGTATGAAATTAATGTTAATAATAAATGAGTTTTAATATGAACAAGAATGCTCTCTGTGAATACCTATGCGGACCTTATGAGGAGTATTGATGACATGACCATGTGAAATATGGACAAATGACATGAGACCTAAGAATGGACTATTGAGACAAACTATGATTATGATACTATGACAAATAATGATATGATGTACTAAATGAAATTATGTAATAAGTTAAATGTTGAGTCCATGAGATTATGAATGTATGACATGCATCATATGCATATATTACTCCAGGTGTGCCGCTGAGGCCGCATACCAGTGATGTAACATGCTAACAAGGTGTACCTTAGGGTCACCAGCGATGTAACATGCTAACAAGGTGTACCTTTGGGTCACCAGTGATGTAACCAGGTGTACCTTAGGGTCACCAGTGATGATATGTGAAACTTCCTTATGGCGCCACATGCATGCATTTATAAGTCAAGATCATGACATCATTGCATGATAAATGAATATATATGTGATATTGATGATGTGTGTGTATTGTTTATATGTGACTTATATTTGTTGTGTGTGTGTGGGTGCTATCTAACCTTTATTTCTTCACCTAAAACTGAGTGAGATGTTTCTCACTCCCTTGTTGTTTTTGTATATGTTTAAATTATGTTGCAGGTGAACAACATCATGAGGATGTTGGTGATGAGGCTTAAGGCTTCAGTTGGGCATGCTCTGATAGGATGTGACATCGGGCATAGCTAGGCTTGTTTTTGGGATGTTATTATTTTAAAAGCTTTAATTTTCTCTTCCTTTGTAATTTTGAACGTTCTTGAGAAAAGACCAAAATGTATATCTTTGTCATACTATTTTATTACATGATTTGAAAGTGATATATTAATTCCTAACTAGGAGGCACTGCCACCTTTACTGGAATTAATATATATTCTCCTTTATATGATTTCTTGAGTTTAATACTTATCTTTGATTTTTTTTATGATTGATGAGTTACGAATGTGAATCTTCTACCTTATGAGATTTGAAGCAGTTGTTTTATACATGAAAGATGTTATTAAACTATGAAAGATTTTATTTACTCAAAAAGAAAAAGAAATTATTGTTTACATTTATTGTGTATTAACGTTGGGGTAGAGGGTGTCACACACTAACTGGGTATCCACCATACTTTCCTCTACTCATGACTTTACTCATCCCCTTGGCATATCCAAGACAATTTTTTTAAGTAATCCTTTTTGTGAAAGAATCTCTAATATTTTTCTCATTTTTTACACACTCAAGTAAGACATCTCAATTTTTAATTAAATTTTTTACAGTATCATATCACAAGATGTGCCTTCTTTTACAATTATACACACTATTAGCACACTAATTGTAACTTATCAATCACAATGAAGAGATATAAGAGATATACAAATGTAAACTTAAGAATCGTCTTACTACCCAACCTTACTACTCATACTCCTCATATGTTCTTATGAATGATACATCCAGACTTTCTCTTACTTCAAGTGACGATCTCAGTAGCACAACCACACTTTTTTTTCCTACTTCTACCATTACTTTGCACATTCTTCGATATCTTCCTCTAGGTTTTTCTCTACAGATGCTCTTACGATTTAGATCAATTGTATATGAATGACTTATCTGTTAGAAATTTTATTTCTAATAATTATTGTGGGCTA